AAAAAAAAAAAAAAAAAAGAAGAGTTCTTCACAGGTGCCACGTGGCACAGCCACGTCAGCACCTGTGAGGGGCAAATGTTTAGGGTAAAAATTACCCTAGACACATGGCCCAATGGGCTGGTGACACGTGGCGCATCGCCATTAGTCAACAGGGCTCCAATCCTCTGTTGACACGTGTCCTTTGTACCCTCCATGGGGGACTTGTCTACCCTACTATAAATAGTGGGGCAAACCTCATTAATGGGGTATTCATAAATACAAACACTATTACCGAGCAATATTAATTGCGGAATTCTCCCAATCAGCGAGAAGAATTTTACCTATTCCGTACTCTTTCCTCCTATACGTATACTAACTTGATCGTCGGAGGCGAAGCTCCTACCAACCGGAGTCTTCGTGATCTTGCAGGTACAGGCACCGGCAGCTCAGTTTTGGAATAGTAACTCTCCCGCAGGACACATCAAAAAACCCCGAAACAGGTAATATTGATATTGTTTTTGTGTCAGATCTGATTTCTATAGTCATACTGAAGATTTTATTTAATTCATATTTGGATTCCTCTATTTTTTTTAAACCGTCAAATATCTAAACTGTATATATGTATATGTTTTTTTTAAACACACACATTTTATTAAATCAAGAGCAGAAATTCATAACTTCTAGAGGTGATCAACATTGGCCCGACCCGCTAGCCCGGCCCCATCCGGCCCGAAAATAGTGCGGGTTTGGGCAAGCCTAAAAATGCATTTTTAGTTAAAAACCCAAGCCCGACCCGAAAAAAGCTTGATAAGCCCGCTACTTTTTTGCGGGTTTGGGGACGAGATATGTTGTTAAGGCCCGGCCCGGCCCGATTTTTTATCACCTCTAATAACTTCAGATCTTTCTTATATGTAATCAAAGATGGGTCTGCTCGGATTGTTGGTGGGTGTAGCCTGAATTGCCTCAAAGAGTGTTGCTTACAAGGTATTCAATGAAATTCCTCTTTTGCCTAATATGAAGTATCAAAAGCAATCAACCGACAATTGTAACAAAGCAGTTCCTTCAATTTTTATGCTCTAATTTTTGCTCATTTCTAGAAAATTAGGCTTTTTTTTTGCTCATAATCATTAATTTGATATGTAAGAGCTAAATGACATATTAAATTATAAATGAAATATTTGTCATATTTATTGAAGTTATGAGAGATTTAACAAGCATATTTGTTGCTTAAATTTCCATGTGCAATTTACGATGATATTCTCAAGCAAGAACTTCATATGATTTTTGGAGCCTAATTTGATAATCTTATTCATTGAATTAAGTGTGGTTGCTAATTCAAATACCAGTTTCACAATCTAGGGTTTAATTTCACATTATTACATATATTAATTTTAGTATATCCAATTTAGGTGTCTTCTTTGGCAAAGTATTGAAATGTTGGTCATATTTACTAAAGTTGTGAGAGATTTAACAAGCGAATTTGTTGCTAAAATTTTCCATGTGCATATTAAGTTGATATAAAATTAAGCAAGAAGAAATTCATCTGTTTTTTGGAGCCTAATGTGATAATTCAGTCATTTTTGTTTGTTAATAAGTTGCATATTTGAGCTTAATAGAGCTCTTGAACCAATTTGATATATTTTATGGCTATTGGAGTCATATTTGATACAAATGCCCTGGTATTAGATGATACAAACAACATGGTATTATTTTTGCATTATTCTTATCAATTTATGCATTTTGGAGCTTCTTTATTGCTTCCTTTTGCGAGTTTGTGTCCCTTTTTCTCTCTTTCCTCTTCCTCTTTGCTGTGTCTAGCATATTTGTTTTGCTTTTTCCCCGCTCCTCATTTCTAGCTAATTCTCCATTACTTCATTTTCTCCTCACCCGATTTCCCTCCATATTACACTTACGATCCTTTGAGGCTGTGATGAATTTGAATCATTTAAAGTATCTGTATATTCTCCATTTCTTTCTCTCTCCTCAGTTAAACGAAGAAGAGAGAGAAAAGGAAGAGGAACAAAATTGATCATTTAATTAGTAGAAAGAGAAAAATGGCGTTTGCTATGGATCACGCCCAAGGAATGAAGTAGAGAGAGATTTTTGTGGCATGTGTTAATAGGATCAAGGATGAGGAAGGTAGACATAAGTGATGCACAGGAAAGTAATTTAAGTACTTTTTCAACCTTTTTCCAATGTTTAAAACATTTAAAGCTAGTAGCTTTCATCTTCATTTAAAACCTATTATGTGAAAATGCAGGTCTAATAGTGGCGCACTTTTGGTGCTAGATTGAAGACACTAAAAACTTTAAAATATGAAAAGGCTGCTTTTGTTCATGGTAATGGTGAAAGACAGGGTTTTGATGGGGTTGAGTTTCCTTATATAACTGAGGAGTTCTTGTAGCGCGATCCCCTAACTGCCTAAAAAAATGATTTAGTTTTGAGGTGATAGATTAATATATGGGTATGTAATGGAATTGTATTGATTTTTCATTAGCTGTAACACCTTCAAATCTCCCTCTACGGAAATAATAGTATAATACGTATAATTATACTGTAGAGATAGACTTAGGCGTATTACTGTCGCGTGATTACGCAAGGATATTCAGATAAGATAACTAAAAGTAGAAATATTGAATTAAAATGAACTTTAGTTACACTGATCGACGCGTGATTTTGTCATTCATTCCTAAATTAATACCACTTTAGGAAGTATTTTAAATGCTAATCTAACGCTCTGGGGTAGGGCTAAGCAAAACTATATGAAGATCCGAAAATCCGACAATCCGATCCGCATCCGATCCGAAAATTATGGATATCCGATTCGAACTTGATTTTGGATTGGATATCCAATCCGGATTTTTCGGACATCGGATATCCAAATTTTGGATTTCGGATATCCGATATTCGAGAAAAAGTCGAATATCCGATCCGATATCCGAAAAAAAACAACTATTACCTGGTTATTTAAAATACTCTCCAAAGGCCCAAGGCCCAAATCTACTAACCCTAATTATTCCCTCAAAGCTCAAACCCCCCGCCTCTGACTTTCTCTCTCCTCAAACCCACCCCTGCTTATTTCTCTATCCTCTCTCTTCCTCCATGACCGCCTCCTTCATCCTTCCTCCATTACCACCTTCATCCTTCCTCCATGACCACCTCCTTCATTACCACCTTACCTTCCCTCCCAGTTACCCACCAACAACATCACCACAAACCACAACCACCACCACGAAATCGGCCGAAATCCCCATTACCTCCATTTCCATCACCCCCACCACGAAATCGGCCAAAATCCCCACCCACCTCTATTTTCGTCACCCCCACCACAAAATTGGCCGATATTCCCACCACCTCCATTTCCGTCACCCGCCTCTGACTTTCTCTCTCCCTTTCTCATCTATCTCTCTAACTCCGGTCCTGACAGGAGTTAGAAGATAGAGAAAAAGATGAGCAGGAGAAGGGGGTGAAGACGCCGATGGGGAAGATCGAGAAGACCGGACGCCGGCACGGGGGAGGAGGCTGGGCGCCGGCGCCAGAAGAGAGGTGGCTGGTGGGAAGGGATGGGATGAGCCAGTGAGGAGGGTTTTTTTTTTATAAAATAAAAAAATTGTGAAAAAAATAAATAATTATGTATATATTTTTTTAAAAATTGTTAAATTGTAAAAGAAACCCATATTATTAAATGGGTCGGATATTGGATTCCGAACTATCTGATCTGAAAATTTTGGATATCCGAATATCCGGATATTCGAAAATTTCGGATCAGATACGGATATCAAATATCTGATTTTTCGGATACGGATATCCGAACCGAAATCCAATTTCGGATATGGATATCCGATCCAAAATCCAATTTCGGATCGGATATCCGATTCGTGCTCACCCCTACACTGGGGGCATCCGTTAGTAAGATCCTTAAGATATTATCGATCTAAAATATTTGGCTGTCAAAAAAACAATTTTAAATATTCATGGATAAGTGTGACAAAAAAAATGGGATGCGTATATACGAACAGTTGAGTGTATTTTTATCCTTAAATATTCAAATACAGGGACTTGCGAATATTATTGCAACTTTTTGATGCCATTTATGAATTTTGCAACTAAGAGTTTGGCAAATCAAATTGATTTATTATTCTTGTCATGATACTTTTTTTTTTCTTTTACAAAAAATAGGGTTTTTTTCTTTTTAAATGTTGGTTATGAAAGTCCGAAATGTATAAGGGTGTAGCTAAATTGAAAAATGTCATCGGTAATTTGAATTTAGAGCAATGTTTTCGTATGTTTAAAGTAAATTATGCATATTAAGCTTTTAAGTTTTTGGGTAATGAAGTTATTGTGTTTTAGTTTTTTTATTATAAATAAGTAAATATTGGTTTTTATTCACAAAGATTGTTATGGGAAGTGCGAATGTTTTATTTGGTTGTGTTAGTCCGCAACTTTTTGAGTAACTAGGGTCATTTTGGAATAATGATATACGTTGATCTAATCTAGAATGATTCATTACATTAGGATCTTTCATCTAACCTAGGATGATTTATCATTAGAAGGCCAGATAGATGAATTATCTTAGATTAGATCAAAGATCATTATTTCCAAAATGGCTTGTGAGCCTAAAAACTAACCTCACTAAATAAATAATCACCCACCTACTCAAATTCTTAAAAAGTTGCAAACTACTACAAAACCAAATAAACTACTTGACCTTCCCAAAACAATATAAGCAAATAAAAAAATTAAATTAAAAAAAAAAAAAAAAAAAAAAAACATTTACTTGTTCATAATCAAATAATTTCACCACAAGAACTCCAACAATTTAGTACCCAAAAAATTTGATAACTAACACAAACTATCAATACGAGTGATTGGTACTACTACTACCCATATTATTCACCTTTGTTGGAAATTGTTGAATATAGTACCAACACTAAAAAAGAGTCTAGGTATGATTTTAGCGGCGTTGCAATAGACTCAAATGAGTCACAGCTCACAAATGACTCAACAAGCAAGAACACCAATAAGGGAAAGTTTAATTTTTTGCATAAACTAAAAGAAGCGTTTCACACAAGGGTAATACATTTAGCCTACCAATCTCCATAAGCGCTTTAGGCGATCAATCTCCTAGGGCATAAATTACAAAATAATTGAATGCCCTCTTTCATTCACTCCTCTCCATTATATACAAAGTAATTACAAAGTAATTTTGTCATCTTCCTAATTGTTCGCTGTCAGTGCTCCTCATTAATTGGGGTAGTGTGTTGCAGCTGCTGCCTTTGTGGTGGCTGCTCTGCCTCATCAATTGACAAATTATCAATTGGCAAATCTTCTGTGGGCAAATAATGCACACAGATAATTGACAGTCAGTAATAGAGTAGAAAAGATCTGATTCCTTATCGTATACAAGAGAGTATATAACTATATCAGGAAAACACACTATATGCAACTCAATCCAAGTAGAAGAGATTCAGAGAACACATAGACATGAACAACACAAATAAAGAAATTAGTTCCTCTGTATTTTGTAGTTTTTTTTTTAATCCTTACCTTCAAAATCTAGGCAATATATCAATGACAAGCTTGCCTATATAGACATCCATTACCAATGTTTTGATTTAAACACAATCTACACAAAGAGACTAATCATCCTAAATATGAATACCTTCCTGGGGATTTCTGCTCATGCTAGAAGAGTTGGAAGGCGAAGCATTTGGGAGTGAATTCTGAGATCGTGACTCCATTGTGAGCATCTTCAATGATATCTTCCTCAGATAATCAGACTGAAATTGCAGTACAATAAGAAACAAGAAATGATTCCCAAGATTTTCAACAATGTCTATAGTGTGAAGACCAAACGCAGAAAATAAACTATCAAGATTAAAATATAAGCAACCACTTGAGATGCATAAGATACCTGGCTTGTAGCAGCGCTATATATCTTTTCTTCAAATATAATGGCGACCTGCTTGAGTTCTTGCAGCCCTTCTTGGCCAGAATATGGGAGATGTCTCTTCAAAGTTTCCATTCTACAATTGCAAAGGATTTTAAATTAATAGCATCACAACCAATTCTTAGTTGATTATAATACATAAACTTATAAGAAGCAGCCCTTCAACTCAAGAATCAAAGTACAATACAATACCACATGATATAACATATACGTAGTACTGTAATTGACTGTCTCCCCTCACGGACAATCTTATATTTAAAAATGAAGCTAAAACTTCAATAAAGATCAAGCTGACAATGAGGTAATTTACATAGGCCACTTTAGCAATAAAATAATACACTCGGACATAGTTACCAATACAGCGTAAAAAATTTAACATTCACCATGTACAAGTAACTGCTCACTAAAAACCATGTTTAACCACACTTCACTTTCAAGGAATCACATTTACCATAAAATTACGGCATTCCTATTCTCTATTTTATTACGAGATTAGTCCACACTAATCTTGTCACATTCCAAAGCTCTGGCGGTTTAATATTCTTTCTCATGTCTAGGCCACACACTTCATAAGAAAATAACCATTTTCACGATCCCAAATTTAAATGTTCAAATACAATATCTACTTATAATCCTTTACTTTCCAACATGGTCTAAGACTCTAAGGTATTATTTTTCACTATCACTTCCGTATGAGAGTTCACAGATCTTTAATACCATAACAAGAGCACAATCGGATAACTCTGCCACCCCAACAATTATTATGGACAGATATAATGATGATAGTGTCCAATACTGAACTCAGTCTATCCTGAAATACAATCCACAAGTGCTTATTTCAGAGTAAATTTTATAAAGAAAGAGGCGAACTCATTAAAACCATGCAGTTGCTCAGAAGAATCAGATTGAAAACAGAGGAACATTCACAGGGTCTCTTCCAAGTATGTTAATAGATACTCCCTCTGTTCCTCTTTTGTTGCTCCATAGAGGTAATGTTACCTCTTAGTTTTTGGTTGGAAAAAATTTATGAGAGAAAATTTATGGGTTAGTAAATTGGTTGTGAGAGTAAAGGTTTAAACCCTTAAACCCCACAGTAGAATGGGGCAAAATTAAAGGGGCGGGCTAAAAAAGAAATTGGGGCAAAATTAAAGGTGCGGGCTAAAAAAGAAATTGGGGCAAAATTAAAGGTGCGGGCTAAAAAGGAAATTGGGGCAAAATTTAAGGACGGAGGGAGTATACTTGTATCTCTTTCTGGCATATCATACACAAGTAGAACATGACTCAACTAGCACACCTTGCTTAAGCGACTTCTGCATAACTACTTGTAACACTTGATCCATTAACTTCAAAATCTTTCTATTTATACTGGTCAACTATTGGAATTAGCCTAATAGCCTTAGTTATTTCATAAACAACTGCTAATTTTTTAGTGATATAATACTACTCCGTATTAGTATATCGAAGTTTCCGATATTTGGTTTAATGTAAAATGCTTCTTGTAAGTCACTACTCTTGAAATCAATGATTTAAAACTACTCACTATTAAAGGAAAACATCCATAAAAACCTCTAGACCTGGTATCTGCTATAACGAAAACCATTTTCGAGAACGCGAGACACAAATTCGACCAAATCAATAACATTACTACCCATAGCATTGATTCACTAAGCAAAGAAACAATAAAAACACAAATTTTACTAGCCATTACATCAATCTCATTCAATAACCTAACACAATTAAATCAACAATTTTGCATATAAACCCAAATTTTCAAACACTCAGAATTTGCCGAATTGCAAGAATTCATCACAGAAATATACATATATACGAAGTATAATATAAAGTTTGTTAACAAAATAACTCACATCTTATTGACCATTCGTTCGCGAGACACCGGCAGAAGATGACTCCGCCAATCGTGACCATTCATTGGAGGTGGAGCTCCATTTTGAGCAGGTGGACAATTATTCGAATCCATACAAATGAAATAAATCAGCTCTAAATTAATAATTAATACAAATAGTTGATCAATTTCAACTCTGGTTGAATTCAATCAGCTGAAATCCCCAAATTCTGAGAAGAAATTGATGATCGAATATACGAAAAGAAACCCTAGAAGAAGAATAGTTACTATTCAAAAAAAAAAAACAAAAGGGTAGCGTTAAAGTTCTGGAAAGAGGAAATATGGAATGGTTTGGGAACAGGTTCACTTCCCCTTCCTTTTTTTTTTTTCTTGTTTTTTTTTTGGGTATGGCTCAAATTCTTGGATAAATACAAGTTTATTTAGGCCTCATTTGGATTAATGAGAAACTTTTTCAAAATTTCATGGAAAACAGATTTTCAAAGAAATGTACAACTGCAAATTAGTTTTTCTTTTTTTAGCCGGGAAAAATACTTAGTTTATATCCCTATATTTAGAGGTGGCAAACAAATCAGGTCAGGTCACTTTCGTGTTCGGGTTATCTCGGTTTCGAGTCAGAAACCCCTAACCTGAACCTGATCTATTTAGTTTTTCGAGTTGAAAATTGTGACCCGACCTGATCTGTTTTATTTTCGGGTCAACCTGAAATGACCTGCTCAATCTGATTATTTTTGTTTTTTGATATGTTTTGCTTTAATTTTTTTTTTTTCCAAGTGATCTGTTTAAATTTTTTTCTAATAATTTTTTGCTACAAATTTACAAAAAAAAAAAAAAAATAATCAAAATTTGGGTGCCATTAGTTTATTACAAACCATAGAAACTAATTCAAAAGCTACCACAAATTACACAAGTTTAAAGTTTCTCAAGATGACATGGCGTATCATTTGCTCCTTCCACTGCACTTAGAGATTTGCTCTGCCATATTAAGCCAATAGTCACGCTCATAATTCGAATGATTCAACAAAACCATGAGAGTTAGGTGGGGAGCAATCAAGTGAACGAGAATGAGCTAGATCTGTGAAAGCTTGAAGGAGGTGGGTCGTCTCAAGCTATTAACTGTGAGAGTATAAGAGAGCGAGAATCACATAGAGAGAAAGGAGGAAGTGATGATTTTTTCTTTCCGAGTAAAGTGGCTGGCATTAAGGCATTAGGGTTTGAGATTTCGACTTTTAAGTTTTATTAGGCTTTAAATTTGGGCTTGGGCTAGTGGTTCACTTCAGATTTCTTATTTGGTCTTTACCAATAATAAGTGTCTCCATTAACTTCGGTTATCAAGTTAGTTCGGGTTATTTTTTCGGGTTATATGGGTCATTTTCGGGTTGAAATTTTCAGCCTTACACTAACCCATTTAATTTTCAGGTCGGGTTCGTGTCTAGCCATTTAAGTAAGGATCTTCACTCTCCTCTCCCAAGCTAAATTTCTCTCTCCTTCTGTTAGCTCCATTGTTGAAGATCTTCCTTTGCAACAAACACCTATCCGGCTATCCTTATAAGGGTTAACCTTTCCCTTTATTTCACTTTTTTTTTCTTAGGGTTTTCTTTAAAATCGGCGACGGTAGGTAAGAGAAGGTGGAGAATAGAAACTCAATTCACAAAGTCGAGAAGGTGGAGTAGTAGCTAACAAGATCGTTGTGCAAGGTTAATAGAGATCATCACTAACCGCAAGTATCATCCTCTTTTCTCTCTCCTTAGTTCTGAAATGAACTTGATGGTGAACGAATGAAAAGTTAGTGTTGCTAACACTGTCATTGAGCGTTAATAACAGAGTAAAAATAAAGAACTAAGTCCACGTGGGCAAGAACATAAAGCTGTAAAATTGAAATAATATAATGCGATTTCCGAGGTAAATATTTTCAGAATTGCCATTATAGTAACAAAATTTGTTAATATAGGATAATAATGGGTCTTGCTCGTTTGGTTGCATACAAAAAAAGTTCAAGAAAAATCAAAAATAGGAGTGGGAATGTGAGGATGAATGAAAGGGAAGTAAAAAAGGAGGTATGGAGGAGGGAATAAAATGTGGCTTCTCTAGATTTGTAAAGGATAATGTTTTCCATTTTTAAGGATGTAATTTTTCACCCTTGGAAAAATTGTTTTCCGACTCTTCAAAAACCAAACAAAGGAAAATAGAAAGAAGGAAAAAAAAAAGGAAAATTATTTTCCATGAAACATTTTACATCAAAATAAACGGAGCCAAAGAGTATTTGATTAACAAATCATATAAAACTATTAATCTTATTTACCATTGTACCATTTTGAGAAACAATTTTGTTAATCAATGGAAGAAACTGAGGTAGCCTCCAAATTCTCAAATCCTTTTATATCCTCTTTGCTTAATTGGCCTCTTTTTTGTTGGAGGAGCACGCTCAATGTTTAGAAAATGGCCAAAGTGGAATTAGTAAGTTTGTACACGTTTGTGGTTAATTTATGTTTTTTTTTTTTTTTTTTTGTCAATTTTGAGCTCAATTTGGACTCGGATGAGCTAAAATGACCCATTAAATCTTAACCGAGCAATTTTCGCATCAAAAAGAATAATTACACGCAAATCGATACATTTTTTGATGCGCAAAACAAGGCACTTATGTTAACTTTTTGTTAATTCCGAGCTCAATTTGGGTTCTTAAGGGATAGGAAATTTTGTCAACAACTACCAATTTAAGCCTTTGTTTTGAAAACAACTACCTTTTAAATTTTTTTTTGAAACAACTACGACAAACTTGTAAAAAGTTAGAGTAACACTACCACTCTTAAGTTTCCGGCTAGAATCTCTGGTGAGGGGGTCCCACTTTATACCTTTCCCTCCAATATTTGTTTCTCTTTCTTCTCTATATAACTGCTATTGTTCGTTTCACAACAGGGTCCCTCATAAAAAAATTATTGTGCAAATTTCTTCCTTTTTTCACCAATTGAGCAAGAGGAATAATTTCTGGAACATTACATCAGGTAATTTGAGAATTTTATATGCTAATTAGAGTTCTAATGACTCGAAATTGGGGAAATTAGGGAAATTAGGGTTTCACAAGTTTTTTGCTTTTTGGGTAAATTGAATGGATTTATCGACATTAGGATTTCAGATGGTCATATTGGAGAGAAAGGTATAAAGTGGGACCCCCTCACCGGAGATTCTAGCCGGAAATTTAAGAGTGGTAGTGCTACTCTAACTTTTTACAAGTTTGTGGTAGTTGTTTTAAATTTTTTTTTTTTAGTAGGTAGTTGTTTTCAAAATAGAGGCTTAAATTGGTAGTTGTTGACAAAATTTCCTAAGGGATAAAATGATCCCTTAAAACCTTTACAGAACATTTTTCGGCATGCAACTCGAGGAAAAAAAAAAAAAAAAAAAAAAAAAAAAAAACTTAATGACTAACCACTAACAGAACCCTAACTAAACTAGTAAGTGGTAGCAAAATCCTTTTTTTTTTTTTTTTTTTTTTTGTATTTTTTGTGGTAAAATAAAATAAAAATTTGGATAGTTAGCAAAAGTCATGATATTTTTCAGTGGTAATAAAAGCAAATTTTCCTAAAGCATAAATAAATAAAATAAAATAGAGCTGATTAACTTTTAATTTTAAGACCATACAGTTTTTTTTTTTTTTTTTGAAAAGTAAGATACAGGAATATAAGAACGTCTTCTTGCAAGACTGTAACCTAATTTATCATAAAGTAAAAAAAATAAGAAAATTTGCTATCCATGAAGGGGTCGATATCTTCATGCGTCGGGGTAGAATAGCCTTAAGAGGCAACATAATCTGCTGCTCGATTTCTTTCACGATATATATGATGAGAATCAAAAGCTGAAAAAGACTACAGAAATTTTTTAATGTCATCCATGAGCAGATGCAGCTTCCATGGACAGCTGAATTTTCCCTTAAAATATTAATAACAGTTAGATTATCACCTTCAATGAAAATATGGGAGATGTTATGGTCTCTTGCTAAAATAAGACCATTACGAAGAGCAATAGCTGCAGCCAAAAAGGCTAGGCAAGAGCCCAAATTATAAGTGTGACTAGCTATGTGGTTACCTAGGTGGTCACGAAGGACCACACCAGCCGTTGCCGAGTTATTTAAACCAGGACCATCAAAGTTTAGTTTACAATTAAAACCCAGAGGGGGAGGGGACCAAGAAATAAAAGAAGGCGTAGGAGGGAAAGCAGAGGAGGGAACGGAAGGAGCAGTAGAATGGAGATTATCCAGGAGAGAACGGGCTTGCCATTCTTGAAAAAGGGTAAAAGCATGACAGAAAATGGTATCAACAATAGGGGTAGAATTCTTAAAGAAAAGAGCATTATGACATTTTCAAATGCTCCAAAACATAATGGCTACCTTTGGAATAACCCTGGGAGAAGAAGCTTTAAGAGAGCGAAAAAGGTCATTGACTGACGAAGAAGAGATAAGGGAGCCAACCCAGTTACGCACAACCATAGAAGACCAAACATCCCTAATAAAAGGGCACAAAAGAAAAAGATGGTCTTGAGATTCAAAAAGTGAATTACAAAGGGCACAAACAGGAGAGACATCAGTATTTCGGGAAACCAAAGTTTGTTTAGTAGGAAGACTGTTTAGGAGAATTTACCATAAGAAAATCATAATTTTGGGAGGGATATCTAATTTCCAAATCCATCGAAATTCCCATTTAGGGGTAAGATAGAAGGAGAGTGGGCTAACCAAGTTGCAGAATCGACCATCCTTAGAAATTCCCCAACAAGGTTCATCTGGAACAGGGGAGGAAGGAAGCAGAATACCTCAAATGAGGTGAACAAGATCATGTGGGAGACAAGATTGCAAGAGGGAAACATTCCATGAATTGTCATCAGCTATAAACATATCAACGGTAATATTAATATTGGAAATAGTATCCGGGTCCAAATCCAATAATGTTATGATATAAGTATCAGCACACCAAATGTCTACCCAGAAGAGGACAGAAGAACCATTACCAATCTTCGAACGGAGTCCTCTAATTAAGAGAGGACGTGTTTATAGTAAATTTTTCCAAATCCAACAGTCTTTAGACTGAAAACGGTATGTCAAAAATGTTAGGTTTTACAGTAATCCATATAACAAAGAACTACTTAAAATTGTGGGAACAAAACCTAAACAGTGTATAATTAATATCAAATTATACAATTATCCAAATACTAATCAAAGTATTACAAGCCAAGCACCAAATATACTATGTAATTCAGAAATTACAAAAGAAAACACTAATGTGAAAAATTCTATACTTGCCTCAACTCCAAGCCTTCATCAAGAACATGAACATGAGAATGTTGATGACCACTTAAGCCACAATCCTTGATACACTGTCTTAGGCGTGTAAACACTTTCCTAAAGAGGTTAATTTCCCCCACAACGGTGCTTGGGTTCAATCCGGAAATCCTCTTTGAGATACAAAAGACAGCAATTTCGTTCTTTGCACTAAGAATCGAAATAAAGATGACAAATTCACAAATTTGGCTAAATTATTAGAGTTTTTCTCACAAAAGTTTGCAAGAAATTTGAGAGAAATAAAATGTGGAGAATTATCTTTGGAGAGATCAAGAAATAAACTTCTGTCTCCTTTTCTTCACGAAAAGATGTCTTTTAATAGACTCAACCGTCAGAAAAAACCGCAAAACAGGGAGGCGCGGGCGCTCCTCAAGGTGGAGTGGGCGCTCCTCACAAAATCTGCGAGATTTCACAAAAAAGCAGTGAGGGGCGCGGTTTAGGCGTGACCAGCAGCGC